TCTTACTATTTTCATCTCTCTATTCTTGAATAAATATGCAGTGTATATTGCAAATAAAACAGGTGAGATTGAAGATTCTTGTAGTACTTCTATTTTTATCTCAGTTTTATCTTATTTTCTTCCATCAAAGAATAGTTGTATAATTCTTTTAGACATGAAACAATTAACTCATTTTATTAGAGAAAGTGACAGTTTTAACATCTTCAAAGTTTGAATCATCTTAGACTTTGAAACATGATCAAATACATCTTTTATGTCAATAAAAACTGCAGTTGAGACCAGGTCTTCATGCTTTACTACTTGAATATCATGAAGAACTGAGAGAACAGTGTCAATTGCAGAACATTGTTTTCTATCTCTTATTTATTCATTAAATAGAAGAGAATCACTAATAGAGCTTATAAAAGATAATCTAGTAGCTATTATCTTTTCTAGAACTTTTCTCAAACAGTTCAATAGAGATATTACTCTATATGACTTAAGAACTGAAGCTTTTCTATTAGATTTTACAAGGATTACTTCAGTAGCTTCTCTTCAGCATTCAGAATGATAATCATTTCTTAAGAGATTGAAAAAGAGCTCAAAATATTTATTCTTCAAGTAGAAATATGTGTTTTGAATAATTAAATAATTAATTGAATCAGGCCCTGCAGCAGTTTTAATTGAACTTGAGAATATTGCTGACTCTAGTTCATCACCTGTAAGCTCAGGTCATTCCCAGTTATTTTCATCAATATATTTATGAAATGACATATTCTCCTCTTCTAAATGTGATGAGTTTTGAAAGAGAATTCTTATAAAAGCTTGATATTTTTCCTTAAAAGAGTTTGCTGTATACAATTCATTCTGAAATTCATATTCTAAGGTTGGAAGCTTTACTACACTTCTTGTTTTAGTATAGTTGAAGGCTTTAAAAACTTCTTTTTCTTGTACTTCTTCAAGAAATTTGTTTCAGCAATCTGTTTTGACTTTTTTAATATCAGAAAAATATTCATTTTGAATAGCTTTGAATTCTTCATCAGATATTAAGTTATTCTTTCACTCTCTCTTAGCAGTGACTAGTTGCTTTCTTTTAGAAGTGATATTCTCATTTCATCAAGGTTTGAAATACTCAGAAGACTTTTTCTTTAAAATATTTTCTTCAATACTTGTTAGAAGAATAGATATAATCAGCTTTACTCTATTCTCAAGTATTTCATTTGAGATATCTTGACTTTGATTTCAATAAAGCTCACTCTGTCTTTCAGATTTCAGCTGTTTTACTCTTTCTTCAACTGCTTTTCAATCAGCTTTTTCAAAGTTATACTGATTAGAGAGAAGAGGATTTTCACTTCTTTATTTTTCACTCAGTTCAATATCAAATTGAATAATCTCATGACCTGATTCTGAGGTTTCATTTGAATCAATAAATCAGTTTATAAGTCTTTTTTCAATTAGATTTTATGATATGAAAGTTAGATCTATAATAGATTTCTGTTTCATGTCTTTTCTAAAGAATGTTTATTGATCAGACTTGTTAACTAAATCTATTGAATGCTTAAAAGTTCATTTAATCAGTTTATCTGCTCTTACTGCTCTTATGCACTCTGAGTTTCATCAGAGATGATGTGCATTGAAGTCTCCTGCAATTATAGAGTTTTTTAAGAGAGTTATATTTAAAAATCCTCTATCAATTGTTCAGATATTGTTGTTTTCTTTCAATGACTTTTCATTATAGATATTTATAAGTTGAATAGTATTAAACTCATTCTCTTTATCTATAATATCACTCACTAGAATATCAGAGTCAGATATGATATCAAATCTCAAATTAAATTGATATCTTGATCTTTTTCTCTCATAGATCACTACTCTTGATTTTATCTCAGATTTTTCAGAGAGAAAGCAGTAATAGCTTGAATGAGAAATAATGTACTTTTGCTCAGTATCAAAGTTTGGTTCTTGAAGAAGTACAAAGTCAACTTTTTATTCAAATGCAATCTGAAGACAAGAATAAATGCAATTTGAGTTTCTATTCATATTATTTTAAATAAATGTGATTTTTGAAGAGTTTTTAAACTTTTTTTATTGTTTTTGTTGTATATTCATACTAAGAGAGAGTAGAGATAGAGTAGAATCTAATTTCTATCATCAGATAGTAGATTATAACTATTTTGAAAAGTAGGAATCTCAACTGCTTGTATTATATCTAGTTTATTATCAGAGTCATTTCTCAATTCTCTAATCTTAACAGAAGTTTAAGAATTCAAATTCTATTTACACTTAGCTGAAGAGTTGAAGATTGAAGATCTAGATAGTTGAGAATTTCTTCTTTTTAAGCTTACAGTTGCAGATTTACTAGCTTGACTTTTCTCTTCAGTTTTAGATTCACTTTAAGCTTCATCTTTTCTTCAGTTCTTCTGAGTTCTTGAAGTAAATACACATTCTTTTGAGCTAGATGCATGTTTTTCTTTACAATTGAAGCACTTAAGCAGAGTATGTTAACATATTTCATCTCTTTTTAAGCATGTTTCACAATTATGCTCACTAGTTTTATGATCTCTAGCACAGAATGCATATTTTGAGTCTCTGAAACAAGAGATTGCAAAGTATTCATATCTTTGACAGTTTGAACACTGTGTTTGAGCTTTGAGATTTATTCTTGAGTCTTTGTATTCATGAACTCTCATTTTCAAATCTGCTACTCTTACTTCAGAGATTCTTGATTATTCAAGTGTCTTTATATACACTAGAACAGAGACATTTCTTTTACTCTGTCTGAACTCAATTGAATTAAGTCATACAGACTCTTTTCTCAGTTGAATAGAATTGTATTCTTTCAATTCATTTTTGAGAAGTAGTATTTCTTTCTCACAGTCAAAGATTTCAACTGGAATATCATGAAGAATGAATTTATCTCACTTTTCATCTCTCTCAGATAGAATTATTGTATTTAACAGAGATTCTACTACTGACTTTCAGAGATTCTCATTCTGAATAAGAAATTCTGCACTGAATTCAAGCATTGTGATCAGAATGATGAAGTTTTCAAAGAAGAATGACTCAATTGAAGCTATAACTAGTTTTTGAACTTCAATATCAGTCATTAACTGAGAAAAGAACTGCTGATTGATTTCATTTCTAATTCTGAAAATGAGATTTGAGTTTAGCTTATTTCTCTGTAATATGTTCTGATTTAAGACTTTGAGAATAAGTCTTCTATTTCTGAAGATTTGAAGATTTTTCTCTTTTTACATTTTTTTCTTCACTCTTCTATCAATAGAAGTATGAGCAGTATTCTTCTCAGTTTTCTCAGAATTTTGAGCAGGTTTTGAGATAGCAGATTTAGAGATAGCAGGTTTAAAGACAGCAGATTCTGCTGCTTGAGCATATATTTTCTTCTGATTTAAAGAAGAAGAAGAAGATGAAGTAGAAAAGAAGAAAGAGCAAACTGAAGAGTCAGTGATTGTATTAGAAATTTTCAAAGTTTTTTGAACTGTGTTTGAAATTCTAAGTTTGAACTTGATCACTTTCTGTAGTTGTTTAGTCTGAGTATGAAGAATTAACAGAACTTCTTCATTCATCTCACTCAGACACTGCTTTTCAAGAATTTTACTTACTTTTTCAAGTTTCTGTATTTCAAAAACTTGTTATTTCTCTATTTCTTCTTTCTTTCTTCTCTTCAGAATTTCAATCTCAGAAATAGTATCTGAGAAAGCATTCTTTTTCACATCAACTGAGTGTACTTTTGAACTCATTATTCTTACTCAATGAAAAGTTGATCAGACTAATTCAATTGAGATATTTATTAAACTCTTTTGAATTGAAAAGTTGATCAGACTGTTTCAATTAAGAGGTTTCTAAGTCTGTTTTCAATTGAAAAGTTAGTCAGACTATTTCAAAAGAAGAATAACAGACTTTTATGTATAAAATATCTGATTTTTTTTCACACTAGTTCAGTAACTAGGTTAGATTTTTGAAGAGAATCTAATAAACTAAAATTGATTTTTAAGATAAATCAATAAAATCTTTATAATCTCTTTCTTGAGATACAGTGAGGAAAAGTATGATATCAATTGATAATAAATCAGATGATATAACAGTTTTTGAGAGAAAAACTGACAAAAAATAAATCAATTTTTTGCAGAGAAATTGATTAAAATTATTCAATTTTATTCTAAATTATTCAATTCTTCTCACACAATAAGTGTGCAACTCAAATCAGTTAATAAAGAGTATAAAAAAGAATTAAGTATTAATGAAAGCTCTTCAGTCACTGAAAAAGTAATTCTTACTTAAAAGAATATGAAATTATGATGAAAAACAACTCTGTTTTTAATTCTTTATAAGAATATTGTATAAAACTCAGAGAAAAACACCTTACTTTTTCAAGAGAAGTAAAAAACTATTTCTAAAATCTTTTTTTTTTTTTTACATTAACTGCTGCAGAAGAATGAGATAGAAACTGCTAAGATATACACTACTGTATACTCTCTATCAAGACTTTCCCTCTTCAGAGTCTTGATATTATAGAGAATATAAGTCTGTTTCTATATAATAATGTAAATATTGTCAGCAGGATGTAGAGAAACTGGTTATTTATATCTCAAAATAGAAGACTTTGTCAATGATTATATTAATATAGAGTTAATTCTCAAATTCAATAGAAACCTAGTGTTGCTGTTCTCAATCTCTTGCAGAATCTATTGAATATTGAGATATTAAAACTAGATTTAATATATCTCACTGTGCAGGGATCAAAGGCTCAGTCAGACCTTGAGATATACTGATTTTATAGTTGTCGTGTCTGCCGATTATGTATCAAGTACAGTTGCTGAGGTATCTTTTTATACTTTTCTGTCGGGGATGGGCCAGATTGAGACAGGTGGTACGAGGGTGAGACTTGGCATTGATGTCTAGATACACTGAAGACAGACTGCGGAGGTTGCACTTCAGAAGTGGCTGTTGATTATGTGCTTGATATTATCGCCGAGGTATCTTTTTGTATTTTTCTGCCGGGGATGGGCCAGATTAGGAAGGGCGGTACAAGGGTGGGACTTGGCGTTGGTGTTTTGGAACATCAAAGATGGACAGGGTTTTCGCGGAGGTCGCTTCTCAGATATCTCCACAACTACAGATCGGGGATCTTCCAAAATCGAGAAGATTGGTGCATATGGCTAGGTCTCTTCACCTTACAATTTGTATGGCAATTTGGCCCGGGGTTGTGGTGTGGTAGGGGAGAATGGGGGATAATCCCACACAGGAGTTTCGAACGACGTCTGGTTCACGTTTGGCTGGATAACTCCACCACCACACGGGGTATGCGGTCGGCGATGGGGTCAAAATGCTCGTATGATCGAGGGCTTTTCGATGGATCTATCGGCGGGTTCTTATTCGAAAAATCGAGCGAGTTCGTGGTGGAGCGGTTCTATAGTTGACAGAATCTTTATTCTTTGATAGATATTACAAGTCTTAACATACTCTTTAACATCTGTTTAAAGCTTGTCTTAAATATATTTATATTTTAGAAGCTTCTCAGTCTTCTCTAATCTGAAATACTCTGTATGAGAATTATTATGATAAATTCTTAATAACTTCTGATACACTGCTCTGCTATAAGAAATGAAGACTGAATTATTCAGCAGTAGAAGTTTATATTCTTCTAGTTATCAGTGACTTAGTTTCTTAACAGTATTACTTCACTCAGAGTCTATCTCTTTCAAGTTTAAATCAGATTCTTTCTTCTTTAACTTCTAAATTTAAACTGTAGTAGAGATGTCTCTCTTCTATAACTTATTAATAAATTTCAAAAGTAATTAGATTGAAAGATTATAGACTGTTTCATTCTTTATCAATTCAATAATTGTAAGATATAATATAAGAAACTTATAATCTTCAGTGTCAGTTCTCTACAGAGACTTGAATTTTATTTCATCTTCTATACTGAGTCACACAGCTGTCTTACTAATGTTATTTTCAAGCTTTAGAGAATCTTAACTCTCTGCAGTCAGCTTCTTCTGCAGTGATGACAGAGATTCTTTTATAAAATTCTTCTTCATATTAATAATATTATAATCAGATTATCTAGATAGTGTATTAACAGAGTTAAGTCAATCTGAATAGTATCAGATATAGAAATTATACTCTGAAAGCAGCTCTGCTCATCTGACTTAATATTCTATCAAGCTCTTTGTTATTAAGAAGTAACATAGATTTATATAATTAGTAAGAACTTACACTGAATACTTACTACTCTGAAGATAATATCATCAGATTTTAAAGAATTTAATAATTACTAATATCTCTTAATTATGAGTATTATATCTTCTTTATATAAGTGATAACTTCTTAAAGAAGAAGATCACTGATCTTCATTCACAGTATTTTATAGACTCTGTGAAAAAGTCTTCTTTTACAGATATTTCATTATCTATATTCTCAGAGATAATTATTCTCTAATTCTTTCAATATTGAAAGATCTCTAATATTAACTGTGAAAAGATTTCACAGATCTCATTCTTAGATATATCAGTCTCACACTGACTGAGTAAGTCAGAGTTAAAGTGATTCAGTATTATAATATCTATAAAAGCTTGTTTCAATTCTATAAACATCTATATAATGTCTTGAGTGAGAGTAAACAGTTCTATTTTTCTATTTTTCTATCTTTCATACTTCTCTTTAACAGATCTGTAAGAGAGACAGTAATTCATGAATATATATAAATGAATTATCTGTAGAAATTCACAAATTCTAGAAATATCTATATCTTACAGTATGTCTGCAGTGCTGATCAGTTCTCAATAACAGAGACTCAACTTCTATTTATTGAAATGCTGTTTATCTTAATAATATAATCTAAGAAATCAATCTTCTGTATGTAGAATAAGCATTTTTCAGTATTTATATAGAGTTAATACTGTCTCAAGTAACTCAATACTTCTTAAACATGAGTATTATATTCTTTCTCTATTTTTGAGAAGATTAGAATGTCATTCAGATATACTATATAGAAGATGTTAATAAGACCTTACAATGTCTTATTTATATAGATCTGAAAGATAACTGAAGTATTATAAAGATTAAAAGATAAAACAAGATATTTAAAATTACTGTACTTGATATGAAAAGCTGGTTTTTAAATATCATCTTTATTAACTCTGATTCTATGATAGATATTCTGTGTATTAATCTTTGTGAATATCTTTACTTCAGATAATCAATCAATCATCTCATCAATTAATGATAATGAATAGTGATTTTTAACTATCATTTTATTAAGACCTCTGTAGTCTATGCATAGATATAGTCTACTGTCTTTCTTAAGTATAAAGAGTATAGATATCTCTGCTAAACTCTTTGATAAGTATATTCAGTTCTTTGATTATACTTCTTTAAGATATTTATACAGAACATTCAATTTCTTTACAGACAAGTTGTAAAGAAGTTTATATAGTATCATTACACTATCTTCAAGATAAATCTTATATTATATCTTAATGTTAGAAAACTTCACTACTTCTCTTTTTAAAAAGATATTCTTATAATCTGTAAAGAGATGTTGTATATATCTATCTTCAATAACAGATACTGCTGCTAATCTTACAGTGAGAATGATGACTTTTTTATCTGTTTTCAAGTTTCAGTTATCTGCTATATAGTATATTAACTCTATCTTTTTCTCAAGATTCTTCTGATGAAACTCTTCAGATTTCTCTATTACTGTCTCTTTATTAGTAAGATAGTATTATCATATCTGAGTGACTCAGTCAATGAGAGAATTGTTTTCTCTTAATTATAAGAGATTTAGAATAATGTTCTTATCTATAATATTAACTGTGTGAAGAAGCAGACTGCTCTTCTTAAAGATTTCTTCTAAATCTGTGATCACACACTTCACTTAAATTATGTCAAAATAATGATATTTCATTTCATCAGTAAATTTCATATGATCTGACAGATCTATCTTCTTTCAATTCTTCATTAAAGAAAAGAAATAGAATATGAAATTAATATTCACTCTGAAGTTAAGTAGACATCTTACTGATATCTTCTTATTCAGAGTATATATTATGATTGTAATATAAACTCAGAGATATAAGAATTATCAATTCTTCATTTCTTTCTCTTTTTTATCTTCTATGAATATATTTGTTAGAAGAGAAGTTAACTTTAAGAAGATATCTTCTCAGTTTCTTCTCTTCTTTAGCTTCTTATAATCACTGATATAGTGATTATCAGCTTCACAGTTAAAACAGAGATCTTTATTAAATCTTTTTTAATATTTCTTCATAGTGAGTGAAGAATCAGAATACTTGAAATTCTTCTTTACTTTCTCTACACTGAAGTTATCACAGCACTGTTTAGATTCTGTTATTAATTACTTAGAAGAGATCTTATTAGTCTTTTTCTCAGAGAATTGATTATTTAAATAGATTCAGAAAGTCAGGTTGATAAGCTCAGTGTAATTAATTAATAAACTCTGATACTATAATATTATTATTCATATCTTATAAGTCAGTTTTATGAGATAAAGCTATATCTTTAATTGATTCAAATTATTAATTAATTTCTCTCAATATTCTTCAAATCTTGTATTGAAATTAGAAGAATTCTTATTATTTTATTAATATAATAAGTTAAATCACTGCACTGCTGTGAAGCTGTGATTACAGTGATCTTTGATTTGATTCAGTAGAAAGTTCTTGAATTCTTCTTAAGTTATTACAGTATTAGTACACTCAAGCTTTCTCTTCTTAATAACTCAAGTAGTTACAGAGATATCTTTAAGAAGATTGATGATATATATTACTTATATCTCATAAGTATTATACTGACTTAGATTAAGGTAGAATTTTCATTCAAGAGTACAGATAAAGCTGTGAAATTCAGATAATATATTTCTCTTATATCTCAGAGAATCTCTGATCTTAATCTCTCTATCTTTATAATAGATATAGATGTGTAGAGGCTGCAGCAGTGACAGAGTAATTAAAGAACTTATATTAAAATATACAGTGAGTTCAGAAATCTCAGATTTCTGTCAGAGTAAAGATATACACACTCTAGAGAATAATATAGAGTTTCTCTCAGAGAGTGAGATTGAGTTAGTCTCAGTGTAAGTATATGAGACTATATCAGTTTATTAGAGCTTAACTGATTCAAACTTATAATCAGATTAAGTGATTTAAATTGTAATATAATGAAACTGAAGCAGTGACTAGTCAGTGATATTATATAGAAGTAGTTATTTAAGAAGCTGTATAAGTAAGCTTAACTATCTTACTTAAATAGTGAGCTTATAGACTACAGAGTTATTACAAGAATATCACAGATATAATACTTAGTATACTAAGAAGATTATATAAGAAATACAGTAACTCTTATATATATTTTAGTAGAAGAAAAATGAATTACTGATTTCTTTAATAAGAAGTCAGTATCTAGCTATTCTATATAGATAATAAGCAGATACTCTTCTTCTATTCTATGAGTGAGAATAGCTGAAGTGATATCTTAGTGATATCTCACTACTAAGAAAGAGTAATCTGCTGATCTTATATAGAAGTGAGGTTCTTATATTCATCAATCAAATCTTTCTATAATATATCTGAATAATGTCATAGAGTGATTGAAAACCAGTTTGAACAGAATGAAATCATCCACATGAAAGTGATAAGCTGTGTGGAACCGCAGCGGGGCCTTGGCGCGGCCGGGGGCGTGACATATATAGATAAGATATCATTCTATTCATCTCTGATAAGTGATGTTCTGATGAATTTATTATGAATGTAGCTAGTTTATTCACTGTATATATAATATCAGAGCGAGTCATCACTGCTGAGTAGATACAGAAGCTGATATGTTATTAATAATGATGAATTTTTGTGAATATAACTGACTTATTAAAAGACTCTAATGAAGCATCAGTTAGTGAGGTATATATCTTACAGACATATGTGAGATGATATATATTAACTATCTTATCAATATAGACATTCTGATATAATCAGAGCTTTAAGTTAGAGCAATCACATATTATTCACATGTTGAGAAATCATTTTAAATCTCTTATCTATCAGATCTTGTAGATGTTTTTAAAATCTTTGATTAGTTAATCTCTTTCTTTTAAATCTTCTCATTATGATAGAATGACAATATCATTCATATAGAAGAAGATAATTAATTAATTATTAAAGAAGAGACATTGATTCTCTGATATAGAGATAAAGCCTAGTTGTTCTCAATATTGAAGATAGTTTATTTAATCAGAGAAGAGATAATCTATGTAATTTATATAGTACTTATAGAAGTTTTAGTATATGATTTATACACTTCAAATTTTACACTCTCTTCAACTTTCATTATTCATCAGATAGTTTCATATATACTAGCTCATTAATATCACTATTAATGAAGATATTGATTTCATCTAGCT